TTTGGGTTATGAACCTCTTATTTGATTCCAATTATTCATACTGTCCTTTACAATAATGACCAACTCATATCAATTGGGTGTTTTTTTCTTTTTACTGTATTGTCTTACCAACTCGTTGTCCTAACGAACTATATCGATTCTCTACTGAAATATTTTCATCGAATGATTACAGTACCATATGGACCGTATTGAAATATTTTGGTAGGGGAAGGGTACTCAATATATTATTAAAAGGGTATTACCTACCTTATCGAAATATTGTTAATAAATAAATTTTTATTGTAATAATAATTTATTTTATATAAATAGTGAATGTAGTGTGTTAAGTAACTATTATTAGTTTAAAATAGTTGTGCTTTTAAGGTATGTAAAAAAAATGGAATTCTTTCATTAATGGTGATATAATTCACGTTATAATTTTATTTAAAAAAATATTTTATATATCGCGTGTGTGTTGGACATTAATATTTTTTTAAAAGCAAAATTTTCCGGGAAGTTGTAAGAAAATTATTACAAATTAGTATCCAACGCGAAACATATTCGAAACGCGGAAACGTTAAGAAGTTAAAATTTTGTGGTACATAGCCGGACAACAAAGGAAGACGAGAAATAAGAAAATAAAGAAAACCCTAAGTAGCGAACAAATAATTAATAGTATTTAAACAACCAACAAGTAATATCGATCAGACGTAAAGAATAATCGATATCAAAAAACCCGTACCAATTAATCCAATATTCGGTAAGGAAGACGATACGAAAATTAACATCGGTAATTTTACATGGATTCTATACGAACATCTACGAATTATGTGCACTGCAAGTTGGAAATAATAAGAAACTATTGAAATTCTTTATAAGGATTATTTGACAAAACCCCCTCTTCACATAAGTGCGATTACAATTAGCCCAAATTTATTTCTTATTTTTAAGATAAATCCAAAACATCTTTTATTAATAAAATTAATTAAATATCACAATTATACTCTTACCTTATTATAAGGTATCTTAGAGTTGAATATAAATATACGTTATATATGTTCCCTTAATATCACATTCTCAATCACACTCATGGTTGTCAGAACCGGACCGGACGGTTCGACCGCGACCCGGGAATATACCGGGCCGGTTGGATGCTGAAAACCGAGAAAAGCAAAAACCGGGGTCAACAGGCGAAAACCCGGTTTGACCGACCAAAACCCGGAACCCGGAAACCGATTGAAGACCCCGGTTTTTGTTCAAAACGGCGCGTGGTGAGAGATCTTGGCGGTGAACGCCGTTTGGTGGGCGTATCTGGGAGATATGGGCGGCGGTTGGCCGGAACAGGTGGTGGGAGGGCGAAAGTGGAGAGGGAAAAAAATGAGAAAAAGAGAGAAGGATATGCAGATTCGAAGAGAGTGAAAGATTAAGAGGAAGAAGAGGGAGGGAGAGAGAGAGAGAGAGAGGGGCCTGTTGCTGCTGCGTGAAGTCGAAGATGAAGGTGGAGAAAGGTGTTAGGGGAAAGGGGAAAGAAAGTCATGGGTTAGGAAAGAGAAAGTAAAAGTGGAAAAAAATTAAATTAATAAGAAATAAAATATTTAATGAGTATAATAAATTAAAAGAAAAAATGGGTTTAATACGTAAAAACATTAAAACACAGAAAAATAGTATTTTTTTAAGTATTAAAATTAATAAAACTAATAAAAATAATTAAAATTTAAAAACCCGGGTTGACTCGGTTGAACCGGTCCAACCGTGACCCAAATGCCTAGCCGGTTTTGTGTCCGATAACATTGATTACACCCACAAATCTCGCTCCACAAATCTCGCTTGTATCTCTCTTTTTTTCTATCTAGATTTTATTTCTCCTTTTTTTTCTTTTTTCTATTCATCGATGCACATCTCCTTCCGTTCAGCCCTTTTTATCTCCCCAACCGGCGCTGCCCCAGCCCCCACCCGACGCCACCCCAGCCCTCACTCGACGCCGCCCCAGCCCCACCCGGTGCCGCCCCAGCCCCACCCGGTGCCGCCCCAGCCCCACTCGGTCCGCCCAAGCCAAAAATACATATTATGATCATCTTGCTTCAAAATGTAGAGTTCGAATGAGATAAAACGAGTACAAAAGTGATAATATTGCATATAATCTCGAAAATTCTACTAAATTTGAGGAGTTGAGGGGTGGTTGTAATTATCCAAACAAGAGGAGGATTTTCGTAATTTAATCATACCTCAGGGGTGGTTGTAATTTACCCATATATATATATATATATATATATATATATATATATATATATATATATATATATATATATATAATACCTATTTGTTTTTTTAGCATACTCAATTATATTATTGAAATCCACTTATTTTTAGCTCACTTATTCAAAACTCCCATCACTTAGAAGTCGATTGTGTAATTTTGATAATTTACTTGATGTTCACGTTTCTAGGATTTCCATAGTATAATAGTTTTTGCGATTCGTTTTGGTATTATCTTTTGAAAGTGGAGGAAAAAAAATTTCATAGCAGATTTTCATCTTAAATTTTTCATAGCAATTTTTCATCTTAAATTTTTCATAGCAATTTTTTTTTCGTGAACACTGCCCCCAAACCCTCGATATGTTTAAGTCCACCCTCACAAGAATCCCCGACCTCGCCATTAGCTCTAAGCAAGGGCATAACTTGTCCATCGATTGGGCCGTCACCGGTTGGCGGATCAGCTTTGAAGAATTGAACTAGCGGTTTTCGATTTCACGGCTCATTAAAAAATCACTTTCTCCTTATATGAAGAACTAATATTGTACTCGGCAAAATCATTAAATTTCTCGTTCTTGCCCCTTGCCTTCGAAATGTAGGAGCTAAAATACGGGTCGTTTGGGGTTCGTTTAATACTTTTCATTATTTAAAAAAAAATTAATATGTGTTCGTTTAGTTTTCCAAATTTCACTCCAATATCTTTTGGTAATTGCTTTTAAAAAATTACTCTTTCCTTGAAACAAAATTCCACCACGGTCAAGATCCGTTTACATTTTCGGTTCCTCTCCGACACTACAATCAAAAGAAATCATCCCAGCCGTTGAAAAAGAACTCCTTCTCTGAACGGTCAAGATTATGTCGTCATGATTACAACGGTAAAGCAAACGCCGAAAGGAAGGAAAAATATACAGAGAAGGTCAAAGGTCAATTTCTCCACACTTGAAATACACAGAGTGAATCAGCGTCTCCATTTATACTCCCAACTCCAATAAACTTGTTTAATTATTCAATTCCAGAATAACAGCTCGCGATCTAGGGTTTTAGCTGTTCGTCGAGAGAGAGAGAGAGAGAGAGAGAGAGAGAGAGAGAGAGAGAGAGAGAGAGAGAGAGAGGATGGCGAATCAGTACGCAGATCAGGTCACCGCATCTCAGGTAATATTTGCATGTTTCTGCACAAGCGTGAGCTCTGCTTCTCATGTAGTTCTTCTCTTTATAAAATTGATTTGTGGTTTTTGTATTAGGTCGGCTCATACTTCGTTCAGCAATACTACTTTGAGATTTTTCAACAGAGTCCGGATTATATGCACAAGTTTTACAATGATTCAAGTTCTATGATTAGAGTTGATGGAGAAACCAGCCATTCTGCAACCGATATAGTGGTAACGACATTTTATATGACTTCTGATTTTGTTTATTTTTCTTAATTTGGACTTGAGATGGGATTTTGTAATGATTCCTTTCTATAGATAAGGTGATTTTGTTGTGATTGATGACTTTGATAAGACTGTGACATAGAGAAGGGCATGGTTTTGAAGTTTAAGTAGGAGCTGTTAGAGAATCCTAGTTTTTGACCGAGTCGGTCGAAGTTTATTCCACAATTAGTGGTTTTTTTTTATTTGCTGTAGTCGTTCTTTCTTTTGTTTAAGGAATAAAAAGTCGAGCGTTGAAATTAAAGAATAACCGTTTCCCGATTGTTATTATGACTGTGCAGAAAATCTTGAAATCCCTAGCCAATTTCAAATTGGATCTTTTGGGAATTTTGTAGCGAGTGATTTGGGAAGATGAAATTAGGGATGTTATACATTCTCTTATTGTTGCCTTTGACTGACTGAATTGAAGAAAATCATGATATGGAAGCTTAATCTTAAACCATGTTGAAAGCGGTACACGTATATCACATTGCGCAGCTTTCCATTTTAAAATTGTTAAACTACTAAAAAGTTTCAATTATGGCCGTTAGGAACTGTAAAGTTTAATGTTGGAATAATATAAAGAACTTAAGACTTACCGCTTACGATTATGCATGTTTCTATTTGTCACAGGAGTGAATTTTTAAAATATAGACACAAAAGTTTAGATAGAATGGCAATCGATATCTCTCTGCTTAAACCATTACGTAGAAGTGGGTGAAATTCTTTCGTCGTTCTTATTTTTGGCAAATAGCTTTGAAACTTGGAGACATAATATTTGCAATTTCCATTTTCTTCAGGGCCAATATCTGAATATTGTGCTACCTGGTTTTGATATGTTTTTTGTTATATTGATCAAACGCATAAAATCAGCCCTGATAAAACGCATGTCTTTGATGCAGAAAATTCATCAGCTACTCATGTCACAAAATTTCACTATGATTGAGATTAAGACAATAAATTCCCTCGACTCGTGGAGTGGAGGTGTCCTTGTAGTTGTTTCTGGCCTTGTCAAGTCAAGAGATTTCGACTCTTGGAGGAAATTTGTGCAGACCTTTTTCCTTGCTCCACAAGACAAAGGCTATTTTGTTCTGAATGATGTGTTCCATTTTGCTGATGATGAGGTGGCAGCTCCATTAGCAGCAAAGGAACAAAATGTTGATTACCAGCCAACTATTTCTACTCATCTTCCTAATCCGACAGGTATAGTTGACTTGTCTAATTATCTTATCATATGTTTTAAATACTCAATATTGCTTCTTTTCTAGAGCTCGAAGTAACCCTACCAGTAAAGGGCTCACCACTCATGCAAAAGAGTCATTAGTATATATTCGCCATCAACCTTTGGTAATAGTTTGGACTATAATCTTAAGGCATTATTCGACCGGATATCATCTACTGTTTTATCAAATTCATTGTCAACAACTATTACACACAGTTTCATCAATCCACCAATTTTCTCTGGTATCAAATTTATAAATGCAAATTTTTTGGCTAAACTAGGATTGAAATCTCTAATCAATTATCAGAATTTACACAGACCAAGTGTTACTGATGTATATAAAGGTCAAATCTTAGATTTTAACAATATTTTGAAAATCTCTAAAACTAGGTGTAATATTTTGTTATATGCAGTCTAAGTCGTCCAGTTTATCTTGTTAGTAGCTGAGATATTTCTTTCATGCGTAGATTATATATTTGTATTTGATGATCATGAAAGTCTAAGTTCGGTCTGAGACTCAATATTTTAGTTTATATATCAGTCTTTTGATTTTGCGGAGTTCTAGATTATTTCCAGATCTTTAATATGTCCGGTCTGTTAGGATTATTAGTTTATGCTACTGTTGCTACACAATAGTTTATTAAGGATATTAAAATGCCAAGTTGCCATTTAGTACCTTTTTGTTGTCATCAGGCTAAAATAATTTGTTCTTAACAGTATCCGACTATGCACTGGAGGAGGATGAAGGGGAGTATCTTAACTCTGTTCATACTGAAGGAGATGAGCCAGTTCAAGAGTACAGTTACCAAGAGCATCTTCAGCAGGATCTCGAGCCAGAGCCTGAGTTCGAGCCTGAGGCAGAGGTTGAAAAAACCGAGGATGGAACTCCTTTTGAAGAATCAAGACACTTGCTTCAAAGTACGGTAACTACTTCGCATGAACCTGAGCGTTCTGTGGACGAACCAGTTGGGGAACCTGAGAAGTTCACCTATGCTTCTATAGTAAGTATCATTTTCCGGTTGAGCTATTTAAAAAAAATATAATTTTACAAATTATTACGTCATGTTAATTTTTCTTAATATGTAATGCCAATCATGCAACTTATAGTATCCTACATAGTAGCAAGGTAGCTCGAGTTTTGCAGCATTGCTTGGTCGCATGATGCATGATACGAATGAATTTAGTGAGGGAGAAGATAAGTGATCTGTCAAGTACTTGATTAACATTAGCTCAGATTTTTTATTTTGTTTGGCTATATCTCCTATACATAAATATGAAAGATATTGATGTTACAACTGCGTCTAATGACTCTACACTTGAATTCAGCGAGTATTGATGTACATATGTTTGTAGTTTCTTCGAAGCTTATTTATCTACTATGTGTTGATTTCCTTCATCCTCCCCATTATTTCCTCGATTGTAAGATTTGTATGGTACATTTTCTCTGGACATGTTATTTCCAACACGTGCCGCAAAAGCTCCACTGTAGCTCTGTGAAACTTGTCATCATATTTTCAACTTCCATCTTTCAAGATAACTGCAATGAGGACCTCTTTTTCTGTTCATAATTTTTCTGTGGTATCTCTGCTTGGTCTCATGGTTGTCTGTTTCAACCTTTTGGCAATCACAGTTAAGGGCTAAAGGTAAAACTCCACCATCGATAAGTTCTCAACCAGCTTTAGCCCAGAGACAACCGGCTGCAGGGAACTATGTTCCAGTTTCACAGCCTTCCGTGAACCAGTCTATCCCAAATCTACCAAATTCCGGTGTGGATTCTGGTGAAGAAGCCTTTTCATTACAGGAAGGTAAAGGCTGCCAATATTTCTCTTGGTGAAATACCTCTGTTGTGAGCTTAATATTTGACTATAGGATTATGCTTATCAAAAGTACTTTCAAAAGCCAAATATTCCTGTGCTATATGCCATTTAAACAGCAAATATGTCTACATGTATTTGCTGGTGATAACTTTCGACGAATGTTTTGTGTTAGTATGATAAGATAATAGTATCAAGTCAATATTTAATGGGTATTTCTGCTCTGAGTGTTTTGTTTATTTATCTGTGCTTTTGTTCTCTACAAAACATTCATTGGTTGATGATTATTAGCTAGGCATTATGATTAATATTGTTAGTTTATCCTCTCTCACTTTTAGTTATTCTTTGGTTCAATCTGCTTGACTCCATCAACTATTTTTTTCTCAGGAGAATCAAAATCCGTCTATGTGAGGAACTTGCCTTCGACGGTGACAAGTTTTGATATTCAGCAAGAGTTTGAGAATTTTGGGAGAATTAAATACGATGGAGTCTTCTTGAGGAATCGCATGGTGCATTTCCCTTCTAATTGTCTAATCCAGTATTTGGTATTTATATATTTGTCTGTCTGAATCTGCTTATGTTGGACAGGATACTGGTGTCTGCTATGCCTTTGTCGAGTTTGAAGATGTTCAGGGTGTGCGAAATGCAATCAAGGTTTGATTTTATTTTTTCCCATTTTCTGATTTTTCAGAAGGTTTTAGGGAGTGTGCAGTGATCTAGGTGGAGCTGTTTCGTTATATGCGTTTTCACGGAATTTAGCAGCTAGAAGTCCGTGTTTGACTATATTTATGTTATCCGTCATTAGATGAGTTTGTTTGGTGTGTCTATCGTGCATCTCACAAAAAGAATCCGGTGCCATTAGTTATTTTATAGTTTTGTATGTGTATTAATATTTTTGCTAACCACCTTAGCGTGGATAGGGTTTCCGTAGCTTGGTTAGAATGTTTGAATTGCAGAATATTGTGATTCGTCCATGGTCGTGAGTTGTCCGTATCTATGTGTAGATGACTATTAGAGGATGTACTGGTTGCTTCCATTTTAACTTACCGCTACTTTCTATTTGCTATTTTTCTGTAATTTGTGAAAAATTAACCGACATATCGGATTATACTGAGTGTAATTTGGGAAAAAATAAGCAACATATCGGTTTATACTGAGTGCTCTGATTAATTCGAATTAATGGTGTGCATTTGGTTTTTTATCTTATTATTTTTTTTTGTCCTTTTTAGGCTTCTCCAATTCAACTGGCTGGAAAGAAAGTTTACATTGAGGAGCGAAGACCTAACAGTAGTGCTTCCCGTGGCGGAAGTATGAATTTTTTACCTTATTTTTTACTATATTTTATAAGTTGGATTTGCCAAAATTTGCTTTTGGTGTCCTGTGAAGTTGTTGATATCCCAGCTGTTCACTTATTTTTACATTCAACGCTGTCAGGCTGTATTTGTCCTGAAATTCCAATTTAAGGGGCACCTCCGGCCTTTCTCTACAAATAAATTTTGGTGCTTCCGATATTTTAGAACATTAAACACCCCCCGAAAGACAGCCTGGATCATAAATTTTAAATTCTTTTTGGTCTTCAAAATGATTATTGTTCTTTGCTGACACGTAATTGCCTCTTTGTTGTTTAATCAGGAACCGGGGGAAGAGGTAGAGGGGGGCGTGGTGGAAGGACTTCTTTTGGGAGGTGAACGAAATGACAGTGACAGCAAAAGAATTAGAACCACCGTTTTCTGCCGCACTTGATGTTCTATTTACTCATGTAACCATAACTTTTAAGTTATAGCAGAAGCAAGTGCTTCTCTATGTCCTTTTCTTTTCATATGAAAACTTCAAATGAGGGACCTTTTTTTCTGAGTGATTTTGGGTTCAATTTTACTTGTTTGATCTGTTATGCTCTCTCCCTATTGGTCGCTTTTCATCTTCCAATTTGCGGTGGGCTTACCTCTATTTTGTACCAGTGTTGTTCATGAAATATTTATGCGATGATATATCGATAAACGGGAAACACTTCCCAGAATTTTGACATTCTGTTATATTCTTCATATTATTTCTTCGTAACTAATGTTGTCTTCAGCGATTCTATTCTGATGATTTTCAGTCCAGAATCAATCGGATAATTGACTTCGTAGCTTTGTATGAACAAAAAATGGATGCATGCACAGTACTGGTAAGTATTAATGCTTACATGTCTCAATCAATTTACAATGTTTATCAGTTTCATTCGAAGCGGTTTAACACTTTCTATTCACATCTCACACTATTGTTTCATTAAAACTTGTATATATTACTTAATAGAATTCCACAAAAATATTAACAATATTCAATTCCTAGTTTACGAGATTTACTGTTTGGTGTGTATATATCCCAACCTCTTAACAAGCATGAAGATGTTCTCTCCACGGAAGTAATTGATATAAAAGTTGGATGGTATTAAACATCCACCCTTCTCATTTTCTACGTAAACTAGGTATAATATTGTATACTCCTCCTCCCCTACAGTATCACACTAAACAGTTGCAGAAGCCACAATTCCATGGTGGTAGACTGGCGTCACTAGGTGTGAATTAGCTACTGCACTTTCTTCTTCCTCATCTTCGATATCCCACAGGAAATTAGCATAGGCTGCATGTACGTGGCTGATAATAATAAAAGAAAAACATTTGAGAATGAGTTTAGATATGATGGAATTTTAGAGATAGAAATGGTGATGTATTATGACGTTTAATTGCGCGTGCGAGCGCGTGTGTGTTTGTGGTTGTGTGTGGTGATTTAAGAGTTTGTGTTTTCTGTAAACCTGTCTTCTGACGAAGCTTGAAGTGCTCGTTTGAAGTATAATGCAGCTCTGTCTTTATCATGGTGCAGCTCCCAAATCAGTTTGGCGTATTGACACAGAATCTCACCATCTCTAGGGTCTGCTAAGATGGCCCGGGAATAGTACTGTTCGGCTCCCTCAAGGTCTCTCCTTTCCTGCCAATTAATTTATGAATATATCTTTCTATCGGCGCAACTTCTTTTTTCTTTTTCTTTGATTTTTTTAGGAGACGCAAATTACGATAGAAACAAATTGGCGTGTTGGAGTTGAGAGACTTACAAGATACAAAAACTCGGCGTAGTTTCTCAGAAACAATGGATTGCCTGGATTCTCCTCCAACATACTTTTGTAGTGTTCTTCAATGCCCACGCCGTGGCTCTCCCCACCATCCCTACTGAAATCAACCGGCCTCAAAGCTCCTCCTCCGCCTCCACCACCGCCATTGCTGCCGCCACTATCAACAAACGCTATTCCGGGGAACCCGAGTCCCATCGCAAGGTACATCTTTCCCTCGCTTTGAAATCCCGTACCAGTGTAAGAATTCATCTTCATTATCGCATCTTCGAAAGCAAAGTTTGCAGCCATGTATGCATTGACATCTTCCACTTCTAGCTCCTCTTCTTCTTCCTCCTCCTCCTCGTCATCACTGTAACAATCTTCCATAGTTGTCCCTACATGGTGGCGCGAGAAAGACGGGATCGCCTCCAAAGTGCTGCACTTAGGTTTCCGCGCGAACTTCTTGGAGTAGGCGTTAGATAAACTGAATTCATCAAGGTTACAATACGAGTCCATAGCCAATTCATCCAAATTCCCTTCCGATTGAACCCTTCGAAATCCATTTTCCGCACTCGAGCCTTTGATTTCAGCCACAGATGGAGATTGCAATGATGTAGACCTGGTGATAATTTGAGATACCCCATTGTTAGCACATGCTAGTTTGCCGCAATTCTGATGAACAGACGAAGAAGACGAAGGGTGTTTCGGGGCGGGGCTTTCTTGGAGAGATGAAAGAAGAGATCCAAGAAGTGGAGTAGAAGAGCTCCTAATTAGCATCATCTTTTCTTTTCTTTTCTTTTTCTTTTCGATCTGAAAAGATTTTGAATAATTATGAGGAGATGATTGGGAGGAGATATGGAGTGTTTATATATAGAAAGAAAGAGGGAGGAGATTGGTGGAGGTATATTTATTGACCTCAAATAATAAAAGTGGATATTTTTGTATGGAGGGGAATGAAGCAAAATCTGGATTTTGCAGAAAAAGATCAGGGCATATGCTCCGTTGGTTAAATGGAGAAAAAAAGATTTAGGAGGTTCAATAATGGATACAAATTGACCATCCACTTTATTCTAGGGGCCAAAATAGCGAAACCGGGGGGGCGGGTTTCTTTGTGTCGTGATTTGTCTACTTGCATGGAAGGTGTGACTCAAAACATGTTTTATGAATTTAACATATGCCTTCCCTTTTTGATGCTTTTTTTTTTTTCCTTCTTTTTTTGGGGTTATTCCTGCTGAGCCGTACACGTGTTCCGTGATTTCCTTTGGCTTATATTGCTTTCCCTCTGCTTCATTTATCTGAAATGATTTTTACGTTTTAAAAAAAAAAAAGTTTGATTTTTACGGGAAAATTTTGTTTTTCATCCCTCAAGTTTGCACCGATTTCACGTTTGATCTCCCTATGTTTACAAAAGACACAATTAGTCCCTCATGCTTCAATAATTTAACGGTTTTGGTCATTTTTCGTCAATTTACCGTTAGTCTCTGTCAGTTAAGTCATTGATGGGCAGACACTTGATTCCGTTAGTTTTGACGTAAAATTGACCGAAAGGACCAAGTGTTAAATTTTTGAAACATAAGGGACTAACTGTGTTTTTTTGTGAACAAGAGGGTCCAAATGTGAAATCAGTGCTACTGTGAGGAACATGAACTGTATTTTTCCGGATTGGGATTTTACCGGGATTAATGTTATGAATGTTGTTCGTTCAAAAATTGGGGTCTCTCTAAAAAACTTAAAACCCCCACCTAACTTTACAAACACGCCCCTATTGGCAGGGTCGGTTCGGAGGGGAGGCGAAGTAGGCGCCTAGGGCCCGATTGGTTTACTAGAGTGCTAACCACTTTGGCAAAGTTACTTATGTAATGTTAATCCTAACTATAAATATATAAATATAAATAACACTGTAAAATGATTATAATAATTGTATAACTAATGTTTAATATATTATTAATTGTCATGTTAACTATTATTAATATTAAAATTCCCCACTAATAATAAATGCATATATATTTAATTTTGAAAAATATTTACGATTTAATTAAAAAGAAAGATTGAATTTTGATTTTTTTAAATTTTGAAAAAGTTTTCAATTATTATTTTCACTTATAAATACTTCTAATCTAATCTTCACAACTTTCATTTTATTTAGTTTATGACTCAAGGTCTTTAATCGTTTCATTTTTTTCTAAAATTGTTTAGTGTTTAAATTCATTTTTTTTTTGTAATTTTGAATTTAAAGTTAATCTCTAAGTTTTTTCAAAAACAAAAAAAATAAAAAAATAAAAAATAAAAAAAACTTGGAAAATCGGTTTGGACCCGGACCCGCCTCCCCACGGGTCGGTTTCGGGTCCCCTAAAAGTTGGAACTGGACCCAGTGGGTCCGTCCCGGTGGGTCCGACCCGGAACCGGACCCGACCCTCCCGTGGCCGTGTCTACCACCCAGTATCACGACGTTCCTAAATTAAATTGGATATATTAGATAGCGAAAGCACAAATTATAAAAATATATAAAACACGTATTAAAAACAAACTTATATATTCATCCCAAACATATATCGTTGTATGCGACTTGAACCAACGCACAAATTCCAAAATTTCCGGCCCTTCCTCGCACGGACCTTCCAAATACGGCGGACCATCCAAAATTAAAAAATTTACGCCACGACCACCTTTACGTGTCGGCTCACTACCATCCTAATCATCGTTGCCGTCATCATTAGCCACCATCTCATCGTCATCATCGAACGCAAACTGCAACGGAGTACAAACATGACCAGACTTGAAGATCATCGGCAATAGGTATAGAAGGCTCGACTCCGGCTGCAATAGTTTCTTCTCTCGCACTCGTCGCTTCTTCTCTTGCCGTCATTTTCCTTCTACGATCGGTTGCAAGAACTCCCCGATCTCGGATTGTTCGACTTCTCACCCAAAGCTTTCATCAAACTCTTACATTTTCCCGCAACTTGACTCATTAAACTTTTCCTCTACCTCCGGCTATCTATAATTTAACATAAAAACATAATTAGCATTAATTAAAGAAAATAATAATAATAAAAAAATTAATTAAAGTTCTCGCGTGAAAACGAGCGAGCATATCTATTTTCGTCGTGTGCAGGCACGTGAGGACAATAGATCTGCTCGCGTGTTTTCACACGAGCAACAAATATTAAGGAAAAAAATGAATAAAAATAAATAGTGCTCGTGTGATTTTAGGCGAGCTCGATGAAATGAGCTCGCGTTGTTTGGCACGAGCACAACCCCCTTTTCCCCTAATAACACATGAGCTCTATTGTTTTTAATTGTTTTCAATTAAAAAAATAAAAAAAATTAAAACATACATTCATCTTCTCGCGTAGTTCTACACGAGTAACTCCACTGTACTCGTGTAGAATCACGCGAGTACTACCAGATGCTCTGTTTAAAAAAAAATAATCGTAATCTACGTAACGAAAAAATCAAAAAAAATGTAGAAATTACCTTCAATCTGTTATCGTTTCGGTCGGGATCTAAAATCGAACACAAAAACTTAAGAGAGTTTTGTGAGAATAGTTACCTTTTAGTTTTTTAAAATAATAATAAAAATAAATGCTTGCGTGCCTTGCACAAATTATTTCAGATCGGTGGATCAACCTGAATTTTTGAGCCCAAAAGTATAAACCAGTTTCACTTTAGAGGCCCATCGACGGAAGATATTGTTTTAAGTGGGGCCCACAGCTTCAATGGTAGTTTAGGAGACTTTGTCGGTTGCGGTCCCCGCACCTTGTCGGCTTGTCTGTTGGCGTAAAGTCTAATTTGTCCGCATTACCTATTCTAGACGACTCTTTCATTCAACTGCATCATTAAATACTAATTCCATTTTTTCCTACTATTGATTAAATATCAATATTTCTTAAATTCTTATTATTCAATATAAAGATTTAAGAAAAATCGTGTAATATTGCATTTTATTTTCTCATAATTCTTTTATACAATCAGTTATCTAAATTTAAAATTCTGGCTCCACTAGTGCTAGAGCTTGTGCAAGACAGTTGAAATCTTGCGAAAAATCTTTTAATATTTATCCGTTTAATTTTATTAAGCGTCCGGGGAATTATCTAGCCCATTCTATTGATAAAAACTTCGGGGAACTCCCACTAAAGTCGGTGAAAATTGCCTAATGAAATTCTTCGATTTCTCAAAAAAAGAAAAAGAAAACGCAGACGAGCTTGTTAATTTTTCCATCCTTTTTTTCTTTGTTTTGATAGTGAATTAGAAGTTTTTGATAGGTGAGTGTAATCCAATAATGTCATTACAATATAAAGTACTTTGCTTGAAATGATAGAACATAATATATTCTAAAATGAGAGGAGAATATATATATATATGTTGGCATCAAATTTCCGTTAGTGAAGATTGAAGAAATCCGTCATACGTGGAAATTAAAGATTGGCAAAGATTTGTTTTCCATGTTTATTTTGGAATTAATTAGAGTCCTATTTTTGTAATATTGTTATTAGGACTTAGATTTATTTCCATGTATTGTATTCTAGTTAGGTATCTTTTGTATTTATCTAGAATAGAAGTAGAAATCGACTAGGATTCTATTACCTAGTTAAATCGATTTCTTAGGGCCCAAGTTAGGTTTAGGGTGGTGATTTCGTGCCTATATAAGGCCCTCAACCTCATATGAGTCCGATGGAGCTTTAATAAGAAAAATCCCAGCATAAAGGCTTTGAAGGGTGCAGCCCGTGCTGCAGCCCTGTCTGCACGGCAGGTGTGGCAACAGAACAGGTTTCTTCTACCAGGCCATAAAGAAGATCGGCGTTTCGGGAGAAGTGCTTAAAAGATCTCGGGAGAGGTCGATCCGCCGTTTGAAGGAAGTTCAACATTGGAGGAAGTCCAAGAGTGCGGAGGAGGAATTGCTTTGATTATCAACAAGTTCGAGTCGTGTGCAAGAACGGCGTATCACATAAAGAGGGAGTCTTTAGTGTTTTATTAAGTCCTATTAATGTACACATAAATCTGAACTAGTTTTGCAAGTCCTCGTGGATGTAGGGTACATTTGTATCCGAACCACATTAAATTGTTGTGTTCTTTATTCTGCTTTTCGTAGATTTATTACTGTGACAACACAACAATTCTGTTACGTCACCTAATGTCGTAACACGTAGTCTGTCTCAACAGATGAGTGGACTTTGATAGGCATTCAAATTCAACAATATATATATATATATATATATATATATATATATATATATATATATATATATATATATATATTGATGATGCTAAAATGTAGATCACCTGGGATAGTGTAGAAAATGAGTTGGGAGAGCAAAGCGGATCAGTAGCTTGACAACTTGATGATCCTGAGGTACCTGCGAGATGAACACACGTGAACTACGCCGGGGGTTGATCCGGCGGAAACCCCTCCGACGCTCAAGTCAGATGTGCTGATCATAAAATTAGTCCAAAGAATACGTATTGTAGTATTGCTCAGTTAATAGGACGTACCTTAATAAAATGAGTAAAACCTCTATTTATATGTCGTTTATTGGGTTGGGTTTGCTTTGTTGGGCCCAAGCCTTGCTTGAAGGTATTTGGGCCTCAGTGATATTGGTCTTCGATATTGGGCTCGTAGCCCAGTAGGTAAAGTAATTGTAGGCCCATTGGGTTGGCCCAATTAGGCATATCATTAAGTCCCCCACTCTCGAGTCGATGTGGGGGCCATGTTGTGATGGGTCTCAGATCGTGTCGAGAGTAAAAATTGTAGAAGTCGATCGTTGGCGTATGGCCTAATGGTATGCGAAAACGCGTTGGAGCGTGTGTCGGAGGGGTGTGAATGCGCGTTGGCGCATAGCGCGACAAAGTTGCCGCGGTATAAGTTAATTGAGTCGTCGGTTTTGTCCCGCGACGATGTAGTAGCGAATTATCTCCTCGTGGGAGTTGTCTTGTCGCGGGGTAATAGTGTTGATCGAGTTATCTCCTCGTGGGAGTTGTCTCGCGATAATATAGTAGCACGGATCAAGTAATCTC